TAACCCCAGAATGTCAGTTAACTTACTAGGAGGGGACAGGAAGGAGAGGGTGATGAGCACAGCTTGTTGGAAAGGCCCCTGAAGCTGGGAGGAGACATTGGTGGCAGTTTCTACCCTGTCAACACTTCTGTGGATGAGTGTAAACAATGCAAAATGATGGCAGTCTCTGTGTCATGGTTCTAAGTGGAAGCCATCCAAGTGTGCATCCATGGTAGGATAGATAAATACTCAGGGGTTTCTTCCCACAACCAATGCTATAAACAGGAGTTGGCAAGATGCGTCATCCTGTGGGCCAAATTGAACTCACTGCTTGTGTCTGTGTGGCTCTTGAGCTAAGAATGGTTTTAACATTTAAAAAATATATATTTATTAATTTTCAGAGAGAAAGGAAGGGAGCCGGAGAGAGAGAGAAACATCGATGTGAGAGAAGAGCTTCAGTTGGCTGCCTCCTGCACGCCCCCTACTGGAGATTGAGCCTGCAACCCGGGCATGTGCCCTGAGTGGGAATTGAACCGGCCACCTTTCAGTGCCCAAGGTGACACTCAACCAAACCACACCAGCCAGGGTGGTTTTCATATTTTTTTGATGACTGTAAAACAATCGAAAGAGCCCTGGCTGGTTTGGCTCAGCGGTTAGAGCGTCCGCCTGTGGTCCGGAGAGACCCGGGTTCGGTTCCCGCTAAGGGCACTGACCTTGGTTGCAGTTTGTCCCCGGCCCTGGTTGGTCGTGCGGGTGGTAGCCACTCGATGTGTCCCTTTCACATCGATGTTTCCCTCTCTCTCTCTTCCTCTCTCTCCCCTCCACTCTGTCTGTACAAAAAATGGAAAAATGTCCTCGGGTGAGGATTAAAAAAACAAAACAAAACAAAAAAAACAATCGAAAGAAAAAGAATATTTTGTGACAAATGAAGATGATATGTCAGTGTCCATAAATCGAGTTTGAGGGAAGCACAGCCCCAGCCATTAATCTGGGTATTATCTCTGGCTGCTTCTATGTGACAGTGTGGCAGAGTAGGGTTGTCCTGATAGGGCTGCATGGCCTAGAGATCTTCAAGTATTGGTTATGTGGCTCTTAGTAGAAAGTTTGTGGTTAGAGGAGCAAAAAGAATGGACAAATGATAATTACACTCAACAACATTGATGGATCTTACAAAATACTGTAGAACAGAAGAACACCCCATTTATATAAAGTTCAAAACTGGGCAAAATGCGGCCGTGGTGTGAGGGGTCAGGATAGTGGTTCCCTTTAGGGGTAGGGAGGGCCTGGAAGGGGCTACAAGGAGGCTTCTGGGGACTGGTCACGTTCTGGTCTTTGATCTGGGTGCTGGTTATATGAGTGCACTCCCTTTGCGAAAAAAATGCTTAAAATGCTACCCACCGGGTCATCCAGATCCAGGCAGGTTGAGTAGCTGAGAGAAGTTTCTGGAATGTAGCAAATATAAGTATGTTAGATTTACTACTTGTGTTTAGTAAAACTGTAATTCTATCAAAATTGGGACAAACTGAGAGATTATAGATACCTTGACTCCTAGACTTGCACTGTGATTGTGCCCAACTGAACCCGCATTTCCCTGAGGTCTGTTTGCCTTTGGTCAGAGGGGAGGGGAGTTTCCACGGGCAAGCATGCCTGTGGCCTTGGGCTGGTCACCACCAGATCCCAGCACTTGCCTGAAGCTTGCTTTTTGTGTAGATTTAGCGGTCTCTTCCGAATCACAGTTTTCGGTCCCCACTTTTAAGTGTTAGGGGCAGTAATGGTCACAGATATTAGCATAGCGTTGAAAGGTGTGAGGTGAACACACAGAGCATCTGAAGTTTTCATTTCACCAACCCTGCAGAGCACTTTTGGTATGATTTCTGCTTTGTAATGACTGCGAGAAAGAGCTGTCAGTGAATGTAGTTCTGAAATTTCTGGAAAGTCCCACGGGCTTATTAACCAGTATCTGGGGCAGAGCCAAATAGTTTTGATTAATTAAAAAGCGTTTGTTGGTCCCCGAGGGGGCGAAGGGGCTGGTGCTAAGTTACCGTCTGTGTGTCCTGCCCTCAGGTTGGAAAGGATCCGGACCTTCACGAGGAGGGCAGTGAGGGGCAGCTGAGGGCACACGGCCAGATAAGATTCATGCACATTTCTCATTCAGCAGCCTTTCCACTTTGAAGAGATGTGTTCTGTTTGAATAAAAGACAATAGTCTCTAATAATGTAAACACCTTGAAGAGTTTTCAGGAAAAGATATTTAACATGCCAGGCGGAGATTCACGTTTTAATGCTTTCTGATTGCCAAGGAGGAAGCCCCCAGCTTCCTCTGGGGAAGTTAATGCACACTGCACAGCTAGGGTCAGACAGGTCAGAATCATGAGGGGGAATAGGAACGTTGCAGAGGGAGGGCAGAAAAGCCATCCAAGGTGCAGCAAACAGCATCCTCAAAGGTGTGGCTTTCTTCTAGACGTTATTGATCAGACGCTGGTAACTTACTATCCTCGATTATACTTAGAACCCGTCCTGCATCTTGACCTGGTGATTTCGTGGTTTCTTTCATTTTTTAGAAGCCATTTTGTTATTGCTAGTATCCAAATGCACAAAGTTGAGGTTTCCTTAAAAGACTACAGATCCCTGCTCAGAGCGGGAGCTGACCCTCAGAGTTTGTTTCAACACCGAAGTTGTAGATGACATTGTCGATACCATAGTCCACACATGCTTGTCTCCGTTGGGCCCTGGGTGAAGTGACTTTTACTGGACAGGGTCTGTTGCTATCATGTTCTGTTGAAAGCGAAAATGACTTTTTGCATCCATTCGGGGTTTTTCCTTGTACCGTATTGAACTTACATGGATGAAGTTTATTTCTCAGTTAGCCAATCCTTGACGTTCACTCCCTGCTGCTCCCAGGTTTGGCCAGATTATCATTCCGTGTCCATTCACATTTCCCAGATAGAATTCTTCCATTTTTCTGACCTGGATGCCCTCTTCTTACACTTCTCCTGGCCCTCTTGTCTTTCTTAACCCCAACCTGAGAAGTGACACCATCACCTTATGGGCTCCAGAAGAGCGTCTGATTAGATCTACAGAATAGATCGTGTTTATTTTCCATGAACAAATTATGAGTCTAATTGTCACGACCGTGACCTTTAAAGATGTAATTGTTCTCCAGAGAGAGTTTTCGTTTCAACCATCATTGCCTAGAGTTGCTGCTTAACTAGAGACGTGGTTAAATGGCAGGTACATGAACTCCCTTTTAACAGAATGTCCAAGTCTCTGTGGTTCTTCTCTCTGCTGGCTGGGTCTTTCTTGTGAGGGCTCCTCATTGTGGGTCAACAGCCTGTCATCTTATTTTTCCCATCAGAGATTTTCTTTACCTCATATAATATGAGGCTATCACCATCTTGATTTTATAAAAATGAGAATGAAATCTTTGCTTTCTAATTTTACTCCTTCCCTTTTATTATTGGTTGCTACTTACTTATGCAACATGATTCCTCCCCGGGTACTCGTCAACCAGTATAGTTTTCAGCTTGGCATGGCTCAAACCTCAAACTTTTGGTTTTAAAGCGGCCGAGTTGCACAGATGGTCAATAAATCAATCACTATGGCCACTTTATTGCTTGTAAGGTGATTACCCCACTTTGCCCATAGTGACTTTTCAATTTGATTAAAATGCAGTTTCACCAGGCGGTGTTTGAGCCCTGCACACATAAAAATACATACAGCAACGAGAGAGGCCTGTGCTCTAATATTTTTACAACTACCCTTCACCTCTTTACCCAACACTTTCGTGGTTCTCGTCCTATAATTCAAATTTCCATACCCCTTGCCAAAGTAATTTTTATTTAGTGCTTATTTCAACTTCTTGTCTTTGCAAGAGTGCGTTCTTTTTTTCTGCTCGGTGGTGGTGAGCGTTGGCCCTGTTGCCAAGCATGTTCTCCATCTCAGATGAGCTCCTATGTGACCTGTAATCAGGCTCCGATGGTGGTATAACATGGCCCATGTCTTGGTTTATTTGCAATTGTTTTTCAGACAAAAGGAGCCAGAACAATGGGAGTAGAATTGTTTTGCAGGAAAGGAGTAAACCCTCAACGTTGCTACTATTCTGGCAGCAGGCACCTTTTGAGTGCATTTAAAAAAAAAATTAAAAGTGAGCACCTCTACCCAGAGCTGCTTGCCTGGTCACAGACTTCTCGCTGCGTCCTCATATGCAAACCTGATGGATTGTTTTTTTGTTAATCCTCACCTGAGGATATTTTTTCCATTGGTTTTTAGAGAGAGTGGAAGGGAGGGAGGAGAAGAGAAAGAGAGAGAGAGGGAGAAAAACATTGATGTGACTTCAATGTGAATGAATAAACAATATTTGTTCAACAAGGTCTCTTCAGCCAGAAACACAAAATGAAATACAAGGTTATGTACTGATTGGTCAATGAAAATGTGACCAGAGGCTCACAGGAACCTAGCTGCCTTTCTCTTAGGGACAGTGCTTCAGTGTTCATTAATTCAGTGTCCATGGTGACTATAGAACATAGCTACCGCAAATAGCAAGAATTGACTGTGCCAGACACTGAATGTGTGTGTCTCCCAAATTCATGTGTTGAAACCTAATCCCCAGTGTGCCTGCCGGTGTTAGGAGATGGGGCCGTTGGGAGGTCAGTAGATCATGACAACTGAGCCTTTACGACTGGGATTAGTGACCTCATAAAAGAGACGCAGAGGGCTCCCAAGTTCCTTCCCTCGTGTGAGGACACAGGGAAAAGATGGCCATTTCTGAATAGGGAGCTGGCCCGCACCGGACACCCAGTTCGCCAGGACCTTGATCTTGGCTTTGCTAGTTTCCAGAACTGAGAAATAAATGTGTTTCTCATAGCCACCCAGTGTAGGGCGTTTCTGTTAGAGCAGCCCGGATTGATTGCAGCAGCGGGTGAAAGAATTCTTTCCGATATAAGAAAATGCTGCAAAGGGGCCATTGGGCCAGGTGCGCGCAGATATCCTGCTTCCGCGTTTAACCACAGTTTCCTGTCCCAGGTATAACTAGCATGGTCACATGCAGGAGCGATGAGCGTCTCTGGAAACCTGATGGATTTTCTCGATGAGCCGTTCCCTGATGTGGGGACCTATGAGGACTTCCACACCATCGACTGGCTGAGGGAAAAGTCACGGGACACTGACAGACACAGGAAGGTAGGTGGTGGTCATTAAAGACACGCTGAAGGGGATTCCTTCCACTGGTGAAGACATGCTTTCGTGGGACAGTTCTTCAGCTCAGGGTCAGGTTCACGTGTCACTGGTGGGCTGGGTTCCAAGGCCCGGGAGGCCTGTGGCTGAGGCAGAGCTGCGGATGGACAACTGTGGCACCACGTGCTTTGCGTGGGAGGCTGTGTCATGAGCAGAAATGGCCAAGGTCTGTAGAGGGAGAAGCAGGGAGGCGGTCGGGACGCAGGGCAATGGCATCTAGTAGAAACAGGGAGAGGGAGCTGGGGGCCGGTGATGAACAGGTAGAAGCAGGTAGAAGTGAATGAGGGGAACCAGCAAAGAGAGGTCACAGTGAGAGGGGGAGAGAGTGCTGAGGGCGGGCTACTAGCCTGGTCACCCCTACGGAGATGGACCAATAATGTGGGTGCTGTCGTCAAGCTCAGGGACAGCAGCTTCCAAATACGATGAGGAGTGACCCCCAGATGGCAGGGAGAGGAGGGAGAGAGGTGTGAACACTGCCCATCTGCCCGGGAACTGTGATCACACTAGTGAATTCAAAGTTCTTGCTGTTGACATTTACCCTGGAAAAGAACAGAAGGTACTGCCGTCTGTGTTGAAGAGGTTCTCTTGTGAGCAGGCCTTCCGAGGTAGGTTAAAGTTGGAGTTGCTGTTCAGATTGGAGGCACTGAATCAATGGATGTCTCTCTGCAGAATGGCTTTTGAATAATCGAAGATCAAAGGGCACGCAGTAGGTTTGTTTAATAAAGTGGATTTCTGGAACTAGAAAGCCCGTTTTGTTGTTGTGGTGGTGGTGGTGGTGGTAGGTAACTGAAAGAACAGCACCCTGCTGGCTGCAGGGAAGGACGCCCGGACTGCAGGATGCATCCTGATGGACGACTGTGTCTTTTGTTTCTAGATAACCAGCAAAAGCAAGGAGTCCGTGTGGGAGTTCATCAAGGGTCTGCTGGATGCCTGGTCAGGATGGGTGGTCATGCTGCTCATAGGCCTGCTGGCGGGTACGTGGAAGGGCACTCCATTAGTGCTTGAAATGTCCAAGAGCAAAATACACGACTCTACATTTAATATACAATCTGTTATTCATAAGGCGAGATCCCAAGGCGGAGCCCAAGTGCGGTCACTGGGGACCTGTGATTGGAGGCCCGGCCGGCCTCTCCACACAGCGCAGAGGTCTATGGCCCTACTGGATGCTTGGTTATGTAGAAGGCAAGAAAATATGGAGAAAGTTTTATTTCAAATAATAAAACACCACACGAGGCTGGCATTTGCTAATACTGGAAGGCCCTGGAATGAACTGCAAACATCCAAGACACTAAAATAATGGGAGACACCTCAGGAGCTGGAGATACCTGCAGCCCATACATTGTTCTGACCCTCAGAGACTCCGTGTCCTTCATTTTTATAACCCAACATCGTGTTTGCAGAGTGAATGAATGAATATGTGGAGGAGAAACCTATGCTTTTATATGCAATGCACCAGCTCTCCATGGAAATTGTTTCCTGAAACTTACTTCCTTTCAGGAGGCTGTGAAGGTTAATGTCTAGAATACAGTCCCTGCCTATAACAACATAAGAGTTATGGTTATAGGACTGACCAAACAATGAGCAAAATATGGGCAGAACAGAGCAAACGCTCTAAGAAAGACAGAACACTAACGGGGTACAGATGTAGATTTCTGATCACCAAGGATTTCAATTTCTAGGTGCTTCTTCATTCATTTCATATATAATTGGAGGAGGGGCTCCATCGGCCTTGGCATGTCACAAGGAGCCAAGAGAAGTGCGTAAGGGGGACGCCTTTCCTTCTAGTCGCAGCGGGTGCTTGTTCATTTCTCCCAGTCTGTCTTTCTCTCCCAGTGACATTCCTAGTATGTAACAGCAGCAGTGTTGGAAGGGAATTTGATTTTATGTTTATACGGTGTATTGCCACCAATTTGTTTGACTTCCTCTATAAAGATTTTTAAAGGTAGGCAGGGTAGGAGCTGGTTATGAATTTTGATGTCTTTGTTTAGAATAGATTTATAAAAGTGTACATTGTATCATTATCCTTGGCTCCTAGGAAGGAGAAATGAATAGAAGAAGGAATAAATCCAGAGTAGATGTTCTGGCATCTTACTGGAGTAAACAGTGTAGTGTAGGTTTTTTTAAAAAGTCCTCATCTGACGATATTTTTCCATTGATGTTTAGATAGAGTAGGAGGGACAGAGAGAAACATCGATTGCCTCCTGCATGACCCCTACAGGGGCAGGAATTGAACCTGAAACCCAGATATGTGCCCTTGACCAGGAGTTGAACTCAAGACCCTTCAGTCTGTGGGGCCGACACTCTAACTGCTGAGCCAATCCAGTCAGGGCCACACAGTGTAGATTTATTGACTAATCTAAGAGCCTGGTTGGGCTGTCTTTAACCTGGCATTGACCAATTGGCTTCACTATCAACCTGATTTCTGTCAGTTCTTTTAGGAGGAATCACGGGGAATTAAAAAAAAATACTGCTGCCTGGGCTTTAATCCAATCGTATATTTGAAGATGATGCCCTGGCATTGAGAAAAGACCCTCTCTACTTCCTCCTATTCCCCTCCACCTGTGCTTCCAACATGCCGCCAGGGTGAGAACCACTGGAGAAGGGCGAGCCCCTGTATATTTCAGTAAATGAATATAGGAGGAAGGAAAGAGATGACACTGAGTGAAGGTGGCCAAAATGTTCTTTGGATCTGGATATACCTTGAAGGGAAAGCCAGAAAACTGTGCCCCACTCATGTTCCAGTTCCCCAGTGGTGGAGAGGACTCAGATGTCCCACTTGTCATCTCCTTAGTGGCACCCTGGACATTATATTCTGACTTCTGAGATGGAGAAGTCCAGGGTTTTCTCTGCAATGCATTTATCAGAATTCACCACTGGGTGTCACTGTTGCTCCATGGAACGAAATAGTAACAGAGCATTAACGAAGCACTTGTTATGAATCACCACTGGGTGTCACTGTTGCTCCACGGAACGAAATAGTAACAGAGCATTAATGAAGCATTTATTATGAATCACCATTGGGTGTCGCTGTTGCTCCACAGAACAAAGCACTAAGAAAATATTTATTATGAATCTCCACCGGGTGTCGGTGTTGCTCCACAAACGAGGCGTTTTATCAGGAGTCACCACTGGGCCTTGCTGATACTCCATACATAGAAGGAAGCTGAAACTGCTTGCACTGTCAGAAGCAGTCACCAGGAAGATTGGGTGTGTGATGCTGTGATTATGAATGAATGAATGGTGGTGGAATTTGGGGTGATCATTGGGTCTTGCTCCTGGCTATCTGTAGGACCTCTCCCTTGCTTTCTTTAGGTCTTTGTTCAAATATCATCTTTCACTTGAGGAGTTCCCTGATCACCTTTTCTAAAAGTACACTTCTCCTTCTCTGAGCCTCATCCCCCTCGCCCACTGTGTGTGTGTGTAACAGCTTTATTGTGGTGTAATTTACATACCACACAATTCACCTAGTTAAAGTATATAATTCAGTGGTTTTTAGTGTATTCACAGCGTTGTACAGCCATCACCACAATTTTAGAACATTTTCCTCGGCGCCCAAAGACCCTCCATGCCCTTTAGCTATCAAACTCCGGTGCCTGCAGCCTCCTTCCAGCCCCTGGCAACCAATAATCTACTTTCGGTCCCTCTCAGTTGGTCTGTTTTAGACATTTCATGTAAATGGAATCACACAATATATAGATATTATTTATATAAAATCATGATATCAGGATATGATAGGTGTGGTGATGGGTAAATGCCTGGGAAGTATACCTAGCCCAAATTTAGGAAATCAGGGAATGCTTCCTGGAGGAGGTGCTGTGTCAGACTCTGGAAGATAAACAGGAGATTGCCAGGCGGGGGGAGGTAGCGCTGCCTGAATGGTACAGAGAAAAGAGCAGCTTTGATGCAACAGGGCAAGAGCAGGGATGGGTGCGCCCCAATGCAGGTATGTGGATGCATTGGTGTTGATACAGGTGGGGAAGTGATATTATAATAAGGATTCAGTGACAGTTTGAAAACCTTAGTAGCCTGAGAGTATTCCCTGCCTTCATAAAAGACTAGAGCGGCTTATTCTAGAAAGAGACCCAAGATAGCCCTCTGTCGCCTCCTGCATACTCTATTTTATCCCACTTAGAGTAGGCTTTAAAGTAGTTATTTCGTTATATAGATCCACAATCCCTTATACAACAATTTTAAAAAAATCTAGAAAGTTCTCGGTTTGGTTCCCATTTGGTAGGCAAACTTTACTTAAATAATGCCACTATTAGCCATTATGCCTCCACTTTGTCTGAATTGTCACGCTTTCCTGAGGAATATTCATGTTGACCCCAGCATCCTGCCCTAGAAGCCGCTGTGAGGTTAAGTCATGTATAGAGTGCATGGACCCTACTTCTGACCAAAGCCGCCCAAGGGCCGCATGTCATTGGCCTTTGTATCTCATTGGGCTGGGCACCGCCTTGCCCACATCATAAATGCTTGGGGGGGCTTCATGACTAACAAAGAAACTTCCTGTATGTGTGGAGCCCGTGGCGTGTTCGTGTCTTGCTCTGCTGTGTGGCCTTCCTGGCTGATGTGCTCCTGCTCTAGCCCCGGGGGGTGTGTTCTCACCATGTCATTCTGGGGCTGTTCCTCTGAGTGGCTCTTGCTGTTTCTTCCAGGCACCTTGGCTGGGGTCATCGATCTGGCCGTCGACTGGATGACCGACTTGAAGGAGGGGATCTGCCTGTCTGCCTTCTGGTACAGCCATGAGCAGTGCTGCTGGACTTCCACTGAAACCACTTTTGAGGATAGAGACAAATGTCCCCTGTGGCAGAAGTGGTCGGAGCTGCTGGTGAATCAATCGGAGGTGGGTTTCTGGACAGTGTCACCGCTGGGCGTCGTGTGACTGTCTGTGGTGTCACCTTGAGGTGTCCTGATCATCACTCGTGGCTTCATACTAGTACAACTTGGCTTTTTCTAGCTCTAGTGGTCAAACTTCAGTTGAAAAACCCTTCCCCACTGTTTCATGTGTGCAAGACATGTATGTATTTTTTAAAGTATTGTGTTTTGCTTTATTTATTTTTTTACCAAGAGTAGTTTGCTAGAGAAATAGGGTTGATTTTTATACTTTCTAATTAAGGACCAAGATGTCATCTTAAAAAAAATCATGGCTTTGATCCTCTACTCCTTTTCATGGCTGAATAACATTCCCTTGTATGCACAGGCCCCCCTTTATTCATTCATCAGTTGATTAACAGAGGTTGCGTCCACTTTCGCTCTGGTATGAATGATTTTGTTCCGAACATTTGTGTATAAGTTTTTGTGTGGATGTGTTTTCATTTCTCTCGGGCGTATACCTAGCAGGAGATTGCTGAGTCACGTGGAAGCTGAACCCTTTGAGGAACTCCCAGACTGTTTTCCGAAGCGATTGCAACATTTTACATCCCTACCAGCAGTGTATGTGTTCCAGTTTGTCCACATCCTCACCAACACTTGTTATTATCTATTTTTGATTCTAGTCTCCTAGCAGGTATGGGTATCTCACCGTGGTTTAAGTTACCATCTTCCAATGCATTTTGTGAGTACATTGCATAGGATATTTTGGGGTCTTCTATAGTGGGAGTGTCCAGGCATGGGGTGTAGTGGTGAACCATGGACTGGGCGCTTGCCCTCATGGCCCTTGGAGCTTCAGATGTGTATAAAAATCTTAGTTTGGGGAAAGGGTTAACTTCTCACCAAATTCTGTGGTTATCACAATGACTCTGGGTCATTGGCAGCTCAGAAACCCAGGCGAGGGGGAGCTAGGTTGCCAAGACTCACATTAAGGGAAATATGAAGGCTGTTCAAGCTAGAAATATTCTTGGACAGTGTCACCATTTTTTCATCTCTTTTTGCCCGATGGACTTAACTCAGCCGAAGACATTTGCAACGCCCTTTGCCATTTTGCTAAACCTCTTTCTCAGCGAATTGAAAATTAATTTCTTCAACTCTCAGAAACAGACGGGACCTTGAAATCTCACACATTCTCAGCACTCTCCATTACTCCCAAAATAAATTCTCTTGGGTTGACAGCAGTGGGCAGGCAACATTGGCCGACCGCCATGTTTTGTTTCTTCTCTCCTACTTGCAATATATTTTTTGGGGGGGAGGGGAATATGGCCATCCATCTTTTTAGTTGTTTCTAAGATTTATACTTTGATTCAAAGAATTACTGTTAGCAAGAGTGAGAAGTTATGTTTAGTCTCAAACAGGTACATTTCTAACTGGGTGAAATGTGTTCCTCAGTCCGCTTTCTCAGCACATAGGTGTGAATATATGTGACTGGAAAGACCCGAGCAGTCTGCTGGAACGTGTTTCTGCATTTAATAGGCACACATGTGGCTGTGTCCATAGCCTGACTTGTAGGTGACCTTGCTTTCCTCCCCCTACTTGAGTTATCCAGATGGTGGCAAGAAGCCTAAGCCTAGAGAAATGTGGTCTCTACCCAGCAGACCAGGTCCTCAGCACCCAAGAGCCCAGACTCCGTATTTGGTTCAGAAAGCATTGTCTGCATATCAGATAATTTGGAAGAAACGGTTCAGTCGGTGGTTCTGGGAGGTGATCAAGTTTTCCCCCCACCCCTAGAATTGCCTCTCCGATGTTAGCATGCCCCTGACTCCTCTGCAGAGCTCACTGCAACACTCTGCCGGGCACCCCCTCTGGAGTGTCTCATTCACCAATATTCCTAGCATGCCCAGGGGCTGCTGACACTGGGGGTGCAGGAGCACGTGAGTAACTACCCTAAACTACAGTTCTCACACTCACTGGCACTGTGGCTGCCATGCCTGTGGCCTTAATGGAAGCAAAGAGAGGTCCATCCACCACAGTCAAGACAAAACAGACCTTGCAGGGGCGCAGAGACAGAATGTTCTGCATCACACCATTCATTAGCTCTAGCGCAAGTGGTGATTAAAACCAAGTCTCATTGCCGGTTTCCATGGTCACTGAGATTTCATGGGGGAAGGTTTGTGTAAACTGCTCATGGAGAGGCCTCAGCTGCGTCAGCGGGTGTGGACCATGGCAGTAGCAACAGCTGATCAAAGCAACGGCTGCCTTTTTGTTGACACAGGACTCAGCTTCTGCTGTCAACAGTGGAGGGCGGGGCACTCGGGCGTGCTGTGGCTCACCAGTTCTTTCTTCTTTTGTATCTGTTGTTCAGGGTGCCAGTGCTTACATTCTGAACTACCTGTTGTACATCCTGTGGGCCTTGCTGTTTGCATTCTTGGCTGTCTCCCTGGTGCGTGTCTTTGCGCCCTACGCCTGTGGTTCTGGTATACCAGAGGTGAGTAGTGGCCCCGCTTCTTTTGCGCCGATAATGACAACAGCAAATACTTCTGGAGCACTTAGGGGCCAAGCACAGATGCAAGCATTTCACATCTATTAACTCATTTAGTTCCCACAATGCATCTATGAGGTAGGTATTATTATTCTGCATTTGATAGTTGAGGAACTGAAGCACAGAGAGGTTAAGTAACTTGCCCTGGGTCACTAAGCTGGTAAGCTGGGCATCAAACTCAGAATTTATGCTCTATATCCAGGATTTATGTTCCATTGCTTCTCAGATGATTCAAATCTTGTGTTTGCAAGCCACATATAACCCTCAAAGCCTGTGGAATCAGAGTTCATTAGCCCCACACATAAGTGTGGCACTTTAGTAACTCGTAGTACATCTATGATGTAATGCAGAGATAGACAATAGTGAGGGTTGGTTGCTTAGAAAGTTTGCTGATGAGTAAACTCCCTTGCCACGATTTTCTCTGGTGGTGACAAGGTAACAGCAATCTTCACAAAACATAATTCCACGTTCAGGGCATGTGCTGTGAATGCACCCCTGTGAGTTCAGACTTCTATTTTTCAGCACTTTCATGCAGCCAAAATATGAGTGAAGTGACATCATTGGTCAGGAGGAACGCCTGAGACTAGACTTCAAACCTAGGATGACCTACTAGGTAGAATAACGATAATTGAGCTAATTTCTAAAAAACCCAGAGAGTGGACACTTTAGCCAGAAATATTTCTGCAAGTTCCTATATGGTCACTATAAGCAGTGCAGTTCTCACTTGGGTCGGTGCTTTAGTCATGCCTAGAGGCAATGGAGATGGTGAGTTTCGAGAAGTGAGCAATTGTGGTGACAAACACATGCTGGTCCCCATTCCCTGCGCCCACAGGGGCTCAAGTAATTAAAAGATTCTCGAAAGAGAAGCTTGACATGTCTTGTTCTAGGAATGACAGAAAAAAAAGACAGTATGTCACACTGACTTTTGGAGGGTTTATATTCACGTATTACTGCAGGATCCTGAAAAAATAAGCTGCAATACCATCCCATTTTCTTAATATAGGCAGTTCTGTCGTAATGCAGGCTGTGTTCCTCGGGATCCCAGCATTCTGCACAATTTCAGGGTGCAAACAGAGCTGCTGATGAAGTGGGCTTAGGGGTATGGCACGCACAAACTCCGTCGGTGACACATGGAAAAGAGAGGGGCCTAATAAAACCAGTAGCACCGTTTTGCACACGTTAAGTGGTTAAGGACTATATGCGTGCTCCCGAGAGCATGTGTGAGCTGGGTGTCTGAGGCACGTGCCTGTTCACTCCTGCATGGCTGGGTTCAGCTGGTGCTGTTTTCTGTGTTCAGCCCGTGTTTCTCCCAGATGAAATTGTGCATAAACAGACGTGAAGTTTGTTATGCTCAAGTTCTTCTCTAATGCCTGAATCACATTGGAACAAATTTTGTGTTTTCAAAAGAAATGTTATGGCAGAACTAACTATATTTGATTTGATACCTAAGATCTAAGGCACCCTGGACATTAAAAAGAACCGATCGATGTTAGCATCTCAGTTTAAGATCCCACTGCCAACGGTAGGCATCTTTTAATTCAAGCTACCTTGTCAAAATAAGGAGATGGCTAATGGGGAACTGGTGGGAAATTTAAAGCAGCCGTTAAAGGTGGACAGCGCCATCTTCCTGTTATAGGAGGCAGAGATGCAGGCTCAACTGGGGATCCTGTAGACCAGTGGTTCTCAGCCTCCCCAATGCCGCGACCCTTTAATCTAGCTCCTTATGTTGTCTGTGGTGCATCTGCATGTGGGTGGACCCGCCTGGAGACGGACAGAAGAGTGGTGTCTCGGTTGCTAAGACCATCGGAAATATGGAAATATGTGTTTTCCAATGGTTTTAGGCAAACCTATGAAAAAGTCATTCAACCCCCAAAGGGGTTGCGACCCACAGGTTGAGAACCACTGCTGTAGACAGTCAGGGAGCAGGAATCAGCTCTGTCGGGATGGGCTGCCCAGACTTGGTCTTCATTTGAAGTGGGCGCCTTTCTCTGTGTGAGCTTTTTCAAAAGGGGTAAAACGCTGAGTTGAGCATTAAGTTTCCTATGTGAGCAAAGTGCAGGAAATACACTGATGGGGATGAAACCCAAAATAGCGATTTCAAGTGATAGAAGTAAGTCTCAGAAGACTCTGTAAAGTATGATTCTGTTTATATAATGTCCACAAACAGCCCAAATGCTATAAAGAAAGGCAAGGAGGTGATTGGTGTCGGGGAGGGGACAGGTCCACTGAGGAAGCCCACACAGGGCTTTGGAAGGTCCCCACTCTTCTCGTCAATGTGGCGGTGGGTACACAGATGCTTGTTTCATTCATATGCTTTTAACCACATATACTATGTACCATCCATTCCTACATTTATAAGAGTTCACAATAGTCTATATTTTTTGTTGTTAATCCTCACGGAAGGATACTTTTCCATTGATGTTTTAGATAGAGCGGAAGGAAAGCAGGGAAGGGAGGGAGACAGAGAGAGAGAAACATCAATGTGAGAGAGACACATCATTTGGTTGCCTCCCGTATGACCCTGACTGGGCCACGGATCAAACTGCAACCCAGGTACATGCCCTTGACTGGGAGTCAAACTCGCCACCCTTTGGTCCAAGGGCCAATGCTCCAACTGCTGAGCCAAACTGGCCAGGGCCACAATACTCTTTTAAAGTTTCGGGAACCGCCCAGCCAGTGTGACTCAGAGGGTAAGAATCAACCCACGTACCAAGAAGTTCTATTCCCAGACAGGGCACATGTCCAGGTTGTGGGCCTGATCCCCAGTAGGGGGCATGCAGGAGGCAGCCCATGGATGTTGTCTCTCGTCGATGTTTCTATCTCTCTCTTTCTCTCCCTTCCTCTCTCTCTAAAATCAATAAAGAAAAAAAATAAAGTGTCAGCATTTGCCTCTGAAACATTTTGATTACTTAGAATGAAAATCCCTTGGGAAACATTTGAAAATGCAAATTTAGAGAACATTTTGTGTGTGTGTAAGAAATGCTCTTGTCTAAGGTCTCTAAAGGACATTTAAATGTGAACACTCATTCTTGGATTTGGGGATTAAGAAAGGACTGGGCACAGGGGGCCCTCTTTCTCTTTTGTTTGCTTCACAAGTAGAACTACTGCTGACCATGTAAGAAATCATGTCCTCTTAGAATATACTTTGAGTTGGTGTTTCATTACAAAACCTGGACACTCTCACAGATATTTATTTACCAGACAGGGTTTAAAGTTAACCCTACAGAGTCTGGAATCTGCTAAAGTTCATCTCCTTAAAGCCCTGCTTCATTTGGTCTCTATTAATTCTAATCAAAGGTTGTGATTGGATTTTGGCATGTACTAGGAACAAATTTGCTTTCTTTAGTCCCTAATTTGATCATGATAATTTTATAAAATCATTTTTTAGGGAATTACGAAATACCTATTACATTGTTTAATTCACCACGTGTCATGGCTGGCAGAGGCTCAGGTAATTGAGACGCTTATAATTTTCTAAATGGTAATGGTGCTTTTAAATTCTACCGTAGGGTCCAAATCCATATGAAGTAACTGACAAAAAATTTTGAGATAATTTTATTCAAGGCAACACCAAAGAGCAGGATTGTGGCAGGCATAGTAAAACAAAATATCCCTTAAAGAAACACATCTGATATGCTCAGAGGACAGGCTCATGTAGGCCAAGTACTACTAGTTAAAGGCCAGTTTAACCACCACTAGTTTGTCTGCCATAAGTTGAAAGCTAGTGCAAGAATTGCCATCTGACTATGTAACTAGAAGAGCTGCACACTTGTTCTCGATCTTTCTCGTGGAATTAAGAAACAGATCTCTATCAATGATTCTGAGATAACACCTCTTTAAAATTTCAAGGATTAGCTCACTTCATGACACTCCCCAAATTGCCAAAGGTGATGTGATGCTGAAGAGAATTTGAGTTTCAGGACGATCCCTTACCTGTTATGAAATTAGGAGTACTTGTACTACTCTTCAGGAATGGACCACTGACTGGTTCTCTACCTGAGCTGCATTGTAGAATAGCCTGGGAAGGTGATAAAAATCTCTAGGTCCAGGGTACACCTCAGACCAATTACATCACATCTCTGGGGGTTCTAATTTCTGAGTTAAGTCCAATGAGTGCCAAGGTTGAGAAGGACTGCAGTAGGTCTTTAAGAAATTGATTCCTTGGCAGAGCAATGCCCACTAGGAGGCACTTTGAAGTGACATAAAAGTTCTGACACTGACAAGAGATAACATTGTCCCAAGATGTATTACACAATGGGAAAACGGCAATGGACCATGAATTTTATTGGCTGATTCACTCAGTGTCTTAATTAATTTATGATTACAAGTTTGTCAGTTGTTAACAGTAAACATTCACTCCATTTCAACCATTCAGGTAAAATGTTATTTATCCATTGGTGATGCTTCTGTATCCCAAAGAATATAGTTTGGGGCGAAGAGGACTCCAATATGTGAGGTTAGTCACTGAGACTGGTACCCAGTTGAATTCTAAAAAGGTTAGGCAAACTCGTGCACCTTGAGGAAGAAAGCCATTATTTGGCACTTACAGAATATGATGGGTCTGAAAATGGGGCAAGATACCTCTACCTGTAGTCAAAGTCCATTTTAATATAGGAGGGCAGGAATCATTGGAAGGGAGGGGGTCGTCATGAATTCAAACATCTTTACATCCTCCAGAGGTGTGTTTTTAGAAACCACAGAATATCTTCCTTTTCCAACGTGGTATTAAGAATATTTTTTCTTTATTGATTTTAGAGAGAGAGGAAGGGAGAGGGAGAGAGAGACAGAAACATCGATGAGAGAACATCGACTGGCCACCTCCTGCATGCCCCCCACTGGGGATCGGGCCCATAATCTGGACAGGTGCCCTGACTGGGAATCGAACCTATGACCTCGGGTGCATGGGTCAACGCTCAACCACTGAGCCACACCGGCCGGGCAAGAATATTTTCAAACATACAGAAAAGTTGAAAGAATTGGACGTGAACACCCATATACGGATGGCCTGCAGCAGGGGCGGCAGAGTTTTCTGGAAAAGGAAATCAGCATTTTCAGCTTTGTGAGCCAAGAGGCAAAACTGAGCAATTCTTCTCACTAAAAGGCTAGGACTCTTGTTTACGTATTGCATTTAAAAATGTTAAAAGCACTTAGCGATGGCTCATCTAAAAACAGGCAGTGGGCTGAATTTGGTCCACAAACCCAACCTAAAATCCCATTGCCATCTTGTTCCATGTGTTTTGTTACAAAGTTAGCCAGCTTTCTCTATCTTTAACTTCTTTCAATAGTCAAAAATTAAGAGTTCAAATCCATAGCTACACGTCTCTTTTCTTTCTTTTTCTTTTTTTTGTTCATCCTCACCCAATGACATTTTTGCATTTATCCTCAGATAGAGCGGGAGGAAGAGAGGGAGGAAGAGAGAGAGAGAAACATTGATGTGAGAGAGACACATTGACTGGTTGCCATCCACATGACCCCAACCAGGGCTGGGGACAAACTGTAACCACGGTACGTGCCCCTTAGCGGGAACCGATCCCAGGACTCTCTGGTCTGCGGGCCGATGCTCTAACTGCTGAGCCACACCGGCCAGGGCTACACGTCTCTTTTCAACACAACAGAGGGTAATGTGAACAGGATAACCACAAATAAAATGAGACCCTGATAATTACTTATTCAGCCCTCATTATGATCTTAACTACTTTAGGAATAATTAAAATTTACTATGCATTGCACCGTTTCACATTTCCATGAATGCAATATAAAATTATATGTTAATATAAATTCTATTAATGTAAAATTATAGCTAAATCAAAAATGAAAGCAACCTTTCTTCCACATGATTTAGTGACGGTAGGCTTGAGCAATACCTCTCAGGGGAATTTGTTCTTTGCCAGCCGTGGCCTTGAAGCAACTCACGCCTCCTTGTTTTCCATCCTCTGTTGCAGATAAAGACCATTCTGAGCGGCTTCATCATTAGGGGCTACTTGGGCAAGTGGACCCTGCTGATCAAGACCGTCACCCTGGTGCTGGTAGTGTCCTCAGGCCTGAGCCTCGGGAAGGAAGGGCCACTGGTGCACGTGGCTTGTTGCTGTGGCAACTTCTTCAGCAGCCTCTTCTCCAAGTATAGCAAGAATGAGGGCAAGAGGCGTGAGGTGAGCAGACTCAGGTTCCATCTTTTGGAAGGTGACCCCTCCAGTCTCCCCTGCACACACTTGTCTTCATGAATGCTTTGCCTTCCAGGTCCTGTCAGCTGCGGCTGCTGCCGGAGTCTCAGTTGCCTTTGGTGCTCCAATTGGGGGTGTGCTTTTCAGTCTAGAAGAGGTGAGCATGGGTGACCAGGGAATGTCGGTGTTGAGGGCTGGGGAATACATGGATGGTTAGCTCAGCAGTAGGTCTCCATCTAAAGCTCTCTGAGGACTACACTCAAAGGAGTATTGACACAATTCCTGCAGCTCATTAACAACACTTGAGAAACAAATGTTCAGCAGCAAAAATTGTAGCTCCTTAATGAGCTGCAGGAATCAGCAAACGTTTTATGTAAAGGGCCAGAAACCTATATTAGGTTTTGCAGGTCTCCCGGTCTGGGTCCTAGCTACTCAGCCCTGTTGTGTAGTGGGGAACCCACCACAGACAGCTGCACGTGATCAGGTGTGGCTGCGTGCCAATACAACTCTACTTATGAATGCTGAAGTTTGAATTTTCTATGATTTTCATGTCACAAAATAGTTTTCTTATTTTGAATATTTCACATGTCACAAAATATTCCTCCACAACCATTCACAAATCTAAATTTTATTCTTAACTCCTGTGCTATTTGGAAACATTTGCTGGGCCAGGGATTTCCAACCCTTGATCTATTCTGTTGTCTGTAGAATCAAATTCAGGGGTTTATTTACTTTTAGGAGGATCTCTGTGCCGTAAACAGATATGATGAAATACTTTCATTTCTCTTAAAAATAGCTCAAAAACACCTTGACTAGTGTCCATTCCACTTTTAGACAGAGTTAGTTTCCTTTAAATATCTTTGTTGGTGCATTGGGGTCATAATTTAGCCTAGATTGAGGAAGTGAGCACTGCCTGTTTTTGACCAGTCTCTAATTTTTTCCTTATTCATCCCAGGTCAGTTACTACTTTCCCTTGAAGACCTTGTGGAGGTCCTTTTTCGCGGCCCTGGTGGCGGCTTTCACTCTTCGATCCATTAATCCCTTTGGGAACAGCCGCCTTGTTCTCTTTTATGTGGAATACCACACACCCTGGTACATGGCCGAGCTCTTTCCCTTCATCCTGCTGGGGGTCTTTGGGGGCTTATGGGGAACCCTCTTTATCCGCTGCAACATCGCCTGGTGCAGGAGGCGCAAAACCACTAAGCTGGGGAAATACCCGGTGCTGGAGGTCATCGTGGTGACTGCCATCACCGCCATCATCGCCTACCCCAATCCCTACACCCGCCAGAGCACAAGTGAGCTCATTTCTGAGCTGTTCAATGACTGTGGGGCCCTTGAGTCCTCCCAGCTCTGTGACTACATCAACGACCCCAACATGACCCGGCCTGTGGATGACATTCCCGACCGGCCAGCTGGGCGCGGGGTATACACGGCCATGTGGCAGCTGGCACTGGCGCTGATCTTCAAAATCGTCATTACCATATTCACCTTTGGCATGAAGGTAAATAAAGGGGCAGGAAGTTGTGGGGGGGCCACCCATGTCCTGCTGGGGATAGCACCCCACTGGCCAAAATGAAATTGTGCTGGGAGGAAAGGGGGATTGACCTTTATTGAATGTTGTCTTGTTCTGGGCCCTTGACATTCTTTTAATCAACCAGAAACTCTGCTTTTGATAAATAGCAAGCCTATGAAGTAGATTTTAATCCTATTTTACAAGTGAAGAAGCCAAGGCTCAGAGTTTGTCATTCATCTAGAGATGTATACAGCTTGGCGAACTTTAATGAAACACACACGCTTGTGTAACCAGCACCTAGGACCAGAAACAGAACATTGAGAATCCTCCAGAACCCCTATTGCTTTCCATTACTATTGCTTTTTGTGTGCTGTTTTTATGATTTGTTTTGCCCTGAGAACAAGTATGGGTGGACTTATTAAACAGCTGACTGTCTCTGCTCCATCCTCTCCTAGCAAAGGGATTTATTCTGGTGCCTGCTGGGAGAGTTGACTTTGAAATTCCAGGGGATTAAGTGGCTGTGGGATAAAGGACAGCCCAGAAAGGAAGAATTTCCTCAGTAATGTCCCAAACTCGAGAGATCACACTCAAGAATCCAAACTTACCTGGAATTTGGTTAAAGATCCACTTCCATCCTGAGATTGATGACAATCTGGCTGGTCCTAAATGTGGCTCCCACTCAGGATCACAGTCCTGTGCAATATGTACGACACGGAGAATCAGGCATGTTCTGTAGCACATCCTGCTCCCTAGATAAATTAAAATGTATTTTCACTCAGCGAAACACAAAGCACACTATTACCAAGATCTTTTAGTTCGCACAGTCTATTTCTATGCTGCCTTTAACCTTGCTTAAAAATATTCAAAATACTTTTCAGAAAATGGACTTTGTCAGGAAGAGGGCATTGCTCCCTGCCATGACAGGTGTTTAGCTACTGTATATCCAAGAGGGCAGTTCACAGGCCCTTCTTTTTCATTTTCATGCTGTGGCTTGACATTTCATTTTAAAAGCTAATCTGAAGGATGTGCAAGGGGAGCAAGAGAGTGGCGAGTGTCTCAAATGACAGATGCTCACTTTGAATGCTGTTTGCAGTGGGGCTTATCATTCTTTAATCCACAGCAGGCAAACCAGGCCAGCTGTTGGAGGCTAAGAAATGAATGTGTAAAATTTCATTCTCTCTAAGTCACAGTAGATGCAACTAAGCAGGTGCAATCCCTGGTCCCATCTTTGCCCAGCTGACCTACTTTGAAGTGTTGCACCTCCTTTGAAGATTGAAGCAAAATGCAAGCTTGTCGGGGGTGGGGGGATCGTGTATACTGGGGATAGGGAGGCAGAAATTCGGGCTCCTTCTCTCATACTTCTTTTCCGTGTGTGCTCCCTGGAGATCCCATCAGGCCTCTTCATCCCCAGCATGGCTGTGGGAGCCATGGCAGGCAGGATGGTGGGAATTGGCGTGGAGCAGCTCGCTTACCATCACCATGACTGGATCATCTTCAGGAACTGGTGCAGGCCTGGAGCGGACTGCGTTACCCCAGGACTTTATGCAATGGTGGGAGCAGCAGCCTGCCTAGGTACAGCCAGAGATGGGGTAAGGCGGGGTGGGAGGTGCAAGGAAAGCTGAGGCAGACCGAGCACAAATGCTCATTTGGGTTAGAGGACTGGCCGGAGGAAGACATGAGCACTGGCATTCTCAGGATAGGAGAGGTTGTGCTGCTGTGACAGGTAAAACCCTAAATCTCAGTGGCTTAACACACCAAGGCTTATATCTGGACCATGATGACAGTTGATTCTCATTATTCATAGATTTCATAATTGGGCATTTGTCTACTTGCAAAATTTGTCTGTAACTCCTCAATCCATACTGCTGGGGTTTTCGTAGTCACTCTTGGACGCTCACAGAACAGTGGGAATGGGAGCTATTCGACACACACATCCATTCCCAGCTGAATCAACCAAGGTGAAGGTCTACCTTCTTGGTTTGGCTCTCAGACTGGACATAAATATTCTTCTCATGGTCTGTTGATTGCCACATGTTTTGCATTTTGTTTGTTTTTTTGTTTTTGTTTTGTTAATGATTTTGCTGTTATTAATGGTTCCCAAGCATAGTGCTGAAGTGATTTCTGGTTTCCTAGTGTGAGGAGCCTGGGATAACCTGAGATGTGTCTTAAGGAGAAAATACATGTGTTGAAGAAGCTTCCTTCAGGCATGCATTACACAGTACAGTGGGCTGTGAGTTCAATGTTAACGAATCAACTACATATATTAGATGAGGTGTCTTTGAAAAGAAATACACAAAATAAGGTTTTGTATTGATTTTGACAAAAATGTTGTGACTAGAGGCTCACAGAAACCTAACCTGATGTCTCCCCTAGGGCAATACTTCAGAATTTGCTAATTTAGTGTTTGTGGTGACTTTATAGATTATAACTACTGTGAATAATGAGAACCAACTCGGGGTGTGTGTGTGTGTGTGTGTGTGTGTGTGTGTGTGTGTGTGTGTGTATTAGCAGAGGGCTTCTCTCCACTTAGTCATTCAGGGACCCGGGCTGATGGTTTCTCAACTGGGGGCAATTGTGCCTCTCAGGAGCACTAGACAGTAGAGGAAACATGTTTGGCTGTCACACCTGAGGCTGGGGATGCTACCGGCATCTAGTGGGTGGAGGCCAGGGATGCTGCTAAACATCCCACAGTGCACAAGGTTGCCCCCCCCCCCCCAAGAGTGATCTGCTCCCAAATGTTTCTAGTGCTGAGGTCAAGAAACCAAAGTTTAGCTCTGGCCAGTTTGGCTCAGTGGTTGGAGTGTTGGCCTGTGGACCAGAGAGTCCCAGGTTCAGTTCCCGCTATGGGCACGTACCAAAAAAACCCCCCAAAACACCCAGTTTAAGCTAAGCTCACTGGAAGATTAGGAGTCAGTATGGATTCTTCCTTTGAATACAAGGGACACAAGGGTGAGTCCCTAAGAGTCTCTACAGTTTTCCAGCTTATGGAGTTCTGGGAGGGACCCACACTTGCTGAGTCAGAAAATTGCATAGCCCACATAGTATCCACTCACCAAAAAGCAAGGCATGTGCTCCTAGGTGAACAGACATCCAAGTTGTCCCTCACTACAGAAGAGCCCTCTGGTCAGATGTAACTTATGGCTCCCTGATGAGTCTAAACAGAGCCCGGCCTCAGTTGCAGAGGTCTGAGCACAGGCGATGTGTAAAACTGTCTCCTTAGAAACTCTCCTGTCAGGAGGATTTACAGCCAGCTTGTCAGTTTCCACAATCTATGCCCTCCTGAGGGTTGAGTTTTAGAATTTCCCTCCTCTGTTCACTTGCAGGCGGAGTTACCAGGATGACTGTGTCCTTGGTGGTCATCATGTTTGAATTAACGGGTGGTCTAGAGTACATTGTACCCCTGATGGCAGCAGCTGTGACCAGCAAGTGGGTGGCCGATGCCTTTGGAAAAGAAGGCATCTACGAGGCCCACATCCACTTAAACGGGTACCCATTTCTGGATGTGAAGGACGAGTTCACTCATCGCACACTGGCCACCGACGTCATGCGGCCTCGGCGGGGAGAGCCGCCACTATCTGTGCTCACCCAGGACAGCATGACCGTGGAGGATGTGGAGACACTCATCAAAGAGACTGACTACAACGGCTTCCCTGTGGTGGTCTCCAGGGACTCTGAGCGCCTCATTGGATTTGCCCAGAGGAGGGAACTGATTCTTGCAATAAGTGAGTAAAGAGAGGGAAGCTCTCATGCTACTAAGAGATGAATGGCAGCCTTTGTACCCCACACGGTTTCAAAGAGGGTGGAGAGAATATACAAAGGTCAGAGGGCTTTAAGCCAGGGGATCCCACACTTGAATGTATACTTGTGCCACCTGGGGATCTGGTCGGAAGGCAGATTCTGATTCAGCTGGTCTGGGGTGGGGCCCTAGACTCTGCATTTCTCCCAAGCTCCCCTTTAATGCTATGCTGCTGGTCCCCACGTCACACCGTGAGGAGCAGGGAGGGGCATTCTTGGCTGGAAGATGAGCACCATGTTTGCAAGCAGCCACCTGGGCTAGGAGGCAAGTGGCTGCTGCCTGTAGGGAATTCATTGTTGGGCAAAGCTGAGAAGGAACAGATGGGAAAGCCTAGGCTGGCCTGGGCTGAGCTGCTCTCAGAGACAGACTTGCAGGCAGGCTAACTACTGAGATGTTGAGTTCTTTGCCTCAGATGCCTCTCGGTTCCACAGCAGCCTTTCACCTCCCTTTATGACACTGTGTCCCTTTGAACCAGTTTGAGGCCCATATGGGTTAACGGGCAGAAGTCATGTCGGTTCTGTGTGATGCTTTTCCTCCTCATGTGCTAACCCAAATCAGCTGGGCTGAGGGGTACGCCATTGAGTTGGGAGAGGAGAGAGGGGATAATGCCCAGGTAGGGTGCCCCAAAAACAGGCAGCTCGGAGAAGCAACCCTGTGGGCCCCATCAGCCGGGCAGTGACTGCATTGGGAGGGGAGCTGGAGGAGAAGGATTCCAAACAGGGAAGCCTGGCTGTGAGTGGTTGGCAGGCCTGGCCAGGAGGAGCAGTGAGCCTCAGGCTCGCTCCAGTGGCGTCCCAGCAGACCTCCCGATGCAGCAGGGCAGGGAGCAGCCGGGCACATTGGCGGAGCGTGGCAAACACCAATGCCATCTTGCTCACATGCCTGCCCCGTGATCTGCACACCATTCCAGCATCTCACTATAGGATGGGGCCTATATATAGGATGGGGCCTATAGGATGGGGCCGTGATGTGGCTCAGGTGTGCCGTTGATGATTTTATGATATATTCCATCTTTCAGAGTGTTTATGAGGTTTGCCAGTGGATTCACCTGGGTATGATGGTAGAATGCCCCACTGGGAATGTGCCTTCACCGACAACCTTTGCCTCTCCCTGCCCTTTGCTAACAATCTCTTAGCTCTCCCTTTGAATTCCCGGATCTCTTCACATGTTAAATAGCTTTGAAATATCTTTAAAGTATTTTAATCAAAGGCTTTATAAAAATAACTTTAGATAAGCTATATCCTCTAATGTTTGTTGCTCAAACATATTTATCTCCCCAAAGCAACATCTGATTTTATATTTTGGACAGGAGAGCATATTTGTGCTAAGTACTCGGTGATGCTTCTGTTTCTTATAGGTCCTGTTGCTTAACAGGTAGTTACCTTTAGGCATAAATACTTCCTTGTGAAAAATGAGATTTAAAAAAAAAGCTGTATATGTAAGGCTGAGTTTGTTCTAAAATAATGCAATCAGCAGCCTTTAAGAAATGTATTCAATCCTTAAAATCTTTTAAGCCACAGTTGAAATTGAAAAACTAAAGTAATAAATGTCACAGAATCCATTACCTGTTGTGTAGCTCCAGGCACACCTGCTAAGAGACAGTTCACTAATTTCGCTGAAACCCATTACTGTAATCAAGTGGGTAGCAGCCATCGCCATCACCGGGTTAGAGAAGAAGTTGCAGCTTGCCCACTGAGCGCTCCCCTGGAAGCTATGTTTGGAATGTCTGAAGAGGCGACACGCGGTGTAAATAATACCTGTATGTTTTCAATCAGACCGAGCCCAGTCTAGAAGCTGCTATTTACATGGTTTGTGGAAAGGCAATGGGTGTTTTAGTCTGAGTAATCAGAAAAGCTGTTTTCCTGGTCTTTGGAAATAGAAGAGTCCCTGTATTCTGGTGCAGAAATTCGCCACCTGTATTTGCAGAGTGAAATGCCCTTTCGTGAACACGGCAATATGACATCAGGGTTTAGCTAGTAATGATTGCATGCCAATGCCACTTTCAGGGGAATTAGGAACAAAGATTATGGACAGATCCGAGATAGTTTGGAGAAGAAAAGAATGGTAAATAAGGCAAATAAGGAATTTTTCTTCAGGTCACGTTCAAAATTGGAGCAGCTGCTGACATGACGCTGAAAATGGATTGTTATTTTCCGTCCCTCTCTGGAATACCAAACCATGGCTGTCATCTTTGTTACAGAGCAATTCGTTGGCACCACCTAGGAAGTGCATCCCTTTTCACCATCACGCACTAGCTCGTGGGGCCATCTGTGACCCCTGTTCAAGTCCCTGGTAAATGGGATTTTACCTCTTGGTGCCATTTGCAAATATGAGTCTCTTTCCGTGCTCAGCAGGGCTCACGCTCTTCCAGTCCTGTGTTCTGCAATTAAGCGAGGACGAGGACGGGTTGAGAGGGGACTCAGTGGGAAGCCACAAAGATGATTAAAGGGATGGAAAGTTAGAGTTATGGGCAAGAGTTAAGGGAACTCTGATTTTTTTTTTTTTTTGGTCTGGTGGGTGATTTAATGATGATTCTCTAGCATGTGGAAGATGCTTACTTTCTGAAAGGGATCAACATCCAGGACCGAAGAAGAAAAGTGTAAGACATGTTGGACAGGCTGTTTAGGAATAAAGAGGTTTCTTCCTGGGAGAACAGTGATGTCATCTGCTTCTCCTGCTGGGGATTAAAACATATATACAGAGGGACGTCCCCATTCCTTAGTAAACTATGACACCATAAAATAATCTGCTTTTTCTTCTAAATAGTTTTTACTTTGTTATCATATTGTCTTTGTACTGACCACCACTATAGTTGCTTCCAATTTTCCACTTGAACCTTTCTGGTTAATTACATCTGTTTTTGTGGAAGCATTTGTTGTTGTTGTTGTTAATCGTCACCTGAGGATATTTTTCCATTGATTTTTAGATAAAGTAGAAGGGAGGGAGAGGGAGAGAGACATCAGTGTGAGAGAGACACATCAATCGGTTGCCTCCCGCATGACCCCAACTGGGGCCGGGGATCGAACCTGCAGCCCAGTTACATGCCCTTGATGGGGAATCGAATCATGACCCTTTGGTTCATGGACCAATGCTCTAACCACTGAACAAAACTGAGCAGGGCTATGAAAGCATTTTAAATGAGGAAGATGATAGAGTATTACCACCCTAAAAACATAATTACTCTAAAGTAGACTTTCTCAACCTTAATACTGGTGATATTTGGGGTTGGTTCATTCTTTGTTGAGAGGGGCTGTCCTGTGCACTGTATGGTATTGAGCAACATCCCTACTTTCTACCCAGTAGATGCCAGTAGGATCCCCATTCCCCACTTGTGACAACCGAAAGTGTCTTCAGATATTGCTAAATGTCCTCTGAGGGTGGGGCAGAATTGCTCCCAGTCAAGAACCATTGCTCTAAGGCCATTGTAATAGTTTGCTGGGTATGTGATCATTTTTAGTCTTTTAAACGTTCTTGGCCTATCATAGTTTGTGGAATTTACTCTACCAGCACTTTTTTGATTACCCACTCTGCACCTGGCATTCTGATTGTGTTGCTGGAGAAAGTGGAATGTCAAGTTGAATGACCTCAGCAGGTGCTCCTAAAATGTACATCATTTTTTCAGGAGCTGCATCTATTAATACTAGTTCTGGTAGAATGTACAGTAAGCCTCCTTATTAAAACAGTTTAAGTACTTGATTTTTAAAACAGTTAAAATTGAAGTTTACTACATTTTTAAAGTGAAAGTAATACATACTTATAGAATATCAGGGAAGTCACAAGAAAAAGGGTAAACAGAAAAGAGCTCCCACATTCTCAATGCCATAGAAGGTCATGGTTAATATTAGGTGCACTTTTTTCTTGTCTTTTACACATGTAAATGTTGGTTTTTTGTGGGGGGAGTCCGTTTCTAACACAGGCTCCTATAAACCCTTGGGGTATGGGAGTCTCTTCTCTTATAGCCTGGAGGAGGAGACAGTGTATTCTTTCATACAGGAAATATTTCTTGTGTATTCACCATGTGCCCACACAGCCATAGGAGCAGGAGTACAGGGGTGACAGCAGCCAGTCTCTGCACTCTGTGAACTTACATTCTAGAGTTTGTTGCAGGCATTTCGGTGACTGATGAAGATTTTTTTGTCCAAATCGAAAGTAGATGGTTCACCCTAGTAAAGAGGCATAGAGCTTTCTTGCTGGTTCTTCTTCCATTCTCCAGCTTTTGGCCTGTGCATAGCACCTACACTCCCAGAGTTTAAAGCTTTAAGATAAGTCTTTCTAATAGAGTTACAAAGAGGCCTCGCAGAGCTCATCCAGAGAGAGCAGCAGTTGTCACTCTTGGAGTAGCAAGGAGCACAGCTCACACCTCCGGCTCTGACCCCACCCGCTGCCCTCGATTCCTTGTTTGGCAGTGATTAGCTCATGAGCTTTCATTTCTAATGCCTTCTACATGCTATAGGCTCTGTCCTACATGGCAGGTAAAGCTAAATCCACCAACATCTAGTAGGCCTACTCCTCATTCACTTGTTGATTGATTGGTTCATGCAAGCATTTGGCAAATATCTGTTTTGTGTCTGCTGTATACTAGGCATTGTATATGCACTGGTGAGCAAGAATGCACTGAACTAGCTGCTGTTAAATCACAGCTTCTAACCCAATCAGCAGATTGCAGAGGAAATGTAAGCTTATTTATTTCAACAAGTGGACTGACAGTTTACTAAGTGGCATTTGATTTTACAAGGGGTTCAGCAAATTCATGTGATCATTTTCTTTTTCTTGTTTTTAATTCTCACTTGAGGACATTTTTTTCCCATTTATTTTCAGAGAGAGAGAGAGAGAGAGAGAGAGAGAGAGAGAGAGAGAGAGAGAGAGAGAGAGAGAGAGAGAAACATCGATGTGAGAGGGACATATCGACTAGCTGCCTCCTGCACAATCCTGACCAGGACTGGAGATCGAACTATAACTGAGGTGCATGCCCTTGAATGGAATCGAACCTCGACTCTTTGGTCCACAGGCTGATGCTCTAACTGCTGAGCTAAACCAGCCAGGGCCCATGTGACCAGTTCCTGATTGAGGTGTGTGGCTTGATGCATTGGGCATTCCTAACGGTTAGCCTGCTTATTGAAAGAGATGGGATTCCTGCTATGTGGGACTTTTAGAAAATCAGTTGGTATATGAAATGAGCAAATAAGTATGTGTTGACTGTTGCCTCCCGCCTTAGTGCTTCAGGGCAGAGCCATCGTGATTTAGGACAGAAGTGTGCATCACGCAGCACTTCCATTTGAAAACATGCTGTGCTGCAGTTTCATTGGCATCTGTGGTTGAATCACATTCCACTTGATGTAACTAGATTTAACCTGACCCAAATAATGTGGAGGCATCTGCCCAGCGGGCCCTCTGTTCCTCTTTTAACAGGGACTCTTTTTCAAACTCCGCCTGACCCCAAATGCTGCCAGTGTTCCATGAGAGTATTGCACCAAATGGCCTGACAGCAGACAGTTAGAATTTATTTCTCAAAGAACGATATAGGTGAACAGTAGTCTTTGAGAAAGCAAGAACTGTATTCTAGAAACCAGGATTCATTTTTAAGGCAAGCTTCACCGTACATTTTTCCTAACCTTTTCCCATGAACCAAAAGAAAGATTAAAATTCCGACAGAAGGAAAATCGCCTTGGAGAAATATCTGGAGACTGATGGATTTGTTTCATGTGTGACTTAAAATAGCCTGGGTTTCTAGTACTGCATAAAGCTGCATACTAATGAGTTCCTGTTCCCCTGCTTCAGCTCTCTTTCACATGGCCTTGCCTATAGATAGAAATAGGCTAATTGTTACCATAACAGTTTTACTATCTTTCTTTGGGATATCCTCAAAATAGCCCATTTTTAAGAGAGGATACTCAAGGGGTGGGAGATGTGGCTTTTCTAGGGGTATTTCCTTGCTCCCAAGGATCACATTGGGGATTAAGCTGTGTTTATGGGCTGTGAGCCTAGGTTGGTCCTATTACTTTTCTGTTCCTTTCAGCATTCGCAATGCCATTTGGGCCAACTGTAATTTAGTTTGTGAAAAAGACAATGTATGGAGGTCACTGGACAGCTAAGTGAGGTTCCTTGTTAATGTCAAATTTCAGCCCATCATGAGATGAAGAAGTGTCAGGATGGCTCTGGGCCTTCTGGGTATCCAGGGCAAGCACTGCGTTCCCCCAAAGGAGCTATCCTGGTCTGGCTTGTCTTTCAAGATTTTAGCAATGAACAGTCGGGTCACAGCAGGGGGACCCTCGCCCAGCATGAGCCGATTTCACAGATGTTTGCCTGAAGCCCCTCATTAAGAATGTGGAGTTTGCCCTCTGAGCCCCTTTTCTGTGGGATTCTAGGATGCAAGAGGAGGGAAGATGTGTGTTCCTGAGGGTCTGCCGTTGGGGTAGTTGCTAAGCAAGGGATTTTGGTGTGCTTTATGCTCCTGCTTGCCCATTCCAGAGAACGCCAGACAGAGGCAGGAGGGCATCGTGAGCAATTCCATCATGTACTTCACGGAGGAGCCCCCTGAGCTGCCGGCCAACAGCCCACAACCCCTGAAGCTACGCCGTGTCCTGAACCTCAGCCCTTTCACAGTCACGGATCACACCCCCATGGAGACGGTGGTGGATATCTTCCGGAAACTGGGGCTCCGGCAGTGCCTGGTGACGCGGAGTGGGTGAGTGGCCAGGCTAGTGTTGATGGAATGTGTACTGTGGCCAGACTGGGGAGAACAAGATGAATGAGACATGGTCTCAGTCCTTAGGGGCCTCAAGGTAGACAATGGCAGTAAGTTGTGGCGAACACACTGAGGGGGAAATGACCATGACCCGGAGCTGGGGGAACTTAGCACAGGGGCTATTGCAGCCCGGGAAAATGGAAGAAACTTCCAGGTGGCTCTGCTGTCTGGCCTGAGGCTGCAGGTTGAGCCACAAAAGGGAGGAGCCAAAGGAGAGGGCTGATTTTCTACCACCCAACTGACACTCAGCTCAGGGAGAAGATACAGCATGTTCTGCTGTAATGTGGCATGTACGTTCCTCAAAATCATGGCACTGATCGTATGCAAGAATGAGCAATGAAAGCTACAGGGTTCATGAGAAAAACAGGGCTAGAGGCACAGTACTCAAAAACTTCGTCACTGGCACATTAAAAAAAAGAGAGAGGGGGAGGTAATAAAAATGGTAGTATGATTCTAGACACGTTAGATGGTTAAGAAGTAGAGCAATATGACACAAAATATGCCACTTGGCCTCAAGAAAGCCCCGAGGTTGGCTTGTGGGCATGAGCGTCATGAGGGCTGCAGTTTTGTGTATCCCTGTGCCCTGGGCTCAGCTGAGCACAGTTTTCTGTACTCACCTGCAGTTTCTCGTGGATGAAATCACCAGAAACAAATGTGAACGTTGCATTATGCTCAGCTTCCTCCCTAATTTACCAGTCTGTTCAAAACAGCTGAGAGCTGTGGCAGCCCCATGGCATCGTCTCTGCCTCAGCGACATTCCTTTTGCTTTGTATTATGCCAGTCAGGCAAGCGGCACCATTAATATTGAAGGGTCAGGACGGCATGAGAGGTGCAGTGCCCTGAGGGCCATTCTTTGAGCTCAGAGGTGCACCCCAAATTCCATGACCTCAGAAGCTTGATAGGAGGAAGAGGTTGGCTCAGTGAGGGTAGCCTGGAACCTAGGGTTGTCTGCCCAGTTCATTCCTTTATGGGCTGGGGGCAGGAGGTGTGAGCAAGCGTTGTGGAGACATTCTTCCTCTAAATCTGGCTTTGGCCTTTATAGACTCCAGAGGCTCACCATCTAACAGTTTACATTTCCAGAGCCAGCACACTCCAGTTTAATCCAGCACTTCTCAACCCCAGTTATTTTGCCCCCCAGAGAGTTTAGGTGTCACAGCTGGGGGGGGGGTGCTGCTGGCATCTGGTGGGTGGAGACCAGGGATGCTCTTCAACACCCTACAATGCACAGGACAGTTCCCACAACAACAGAATCATCTGGCCCAAAATATCACCAGTGTTGCAATTGAGTGACCCTGGACTGGACGCCAGAGGATAGCCAAGTGAGCAATCCTTACTCATTCGGCTTTCTTCCCACTATCCTGGTAACAGCATCTGGGGCTCTGCTAGGGGTGCATTTACACACTGACCCAGAGAACTCCTAGCCGACAGGGCAAGCATCCTTCTCAGCTGTGACAGCAGCTAGGGGGTGTCTTGCACATAGGAGGGGCAGTAAATATGGGACAAATGAATGTTTGAGGCTAGAGATTTTTTTTGCTGTGACTTTTAAAGGAACTCCATGGTTTTCAAACTTGAGCATGCATCAGAATCCCCGTGGATTAAACTGCCAGGTGAAACCCAGAGTGCTGGGCCCCAGTGCAGGTCTGAGGGGTGGAGAATGTATATTTTCAACAAGCCCTGAGGGGCTGCTGCTGATGAGGGGACCCCACTTTGCAAAACGCTGAAGCCCATTCATGTACTTGAATTTCCAGCACTTGGTGTAAATACTACTGCGATCACCCGTGTCGTCTCAAGTGGATAGCAGTTTCTCTTTCTCTTTAAAATAATAATCCAATGTCAGTTATCATTGGAATTTCAGTTCTGGCAGGAAATTCTGCTCCTAGCGCCCGCTCGCACCTCACGAAGCCCCATGAGGTTTTCCTGTGAAGATTTGGGTGCCGAAATTGGCTCCGAATGTTCTTCGAGAAAACAAAATCGCACTCTCTCTCTCGCTCTACATATTTTAAACAAACACAGATGCTGATACGTTCGTGCTGGCAAGGGGTCCTTGTGTGCGGGCCCTTTCATCTCCCGGGCTTGCGGCCAGGGCAGGCACGTCTTAAGCCAGCGCGAGTTTTTGATTATTCTGTCGCCATGTGCCTTCCTTGCTCGCGGCCGAAAGCCCAGTTCGTCCTGTTGACCAGCAGGATTTATCAGGGCCTGGGGTCCAAGGTAATTGTGAAATCAGACCACGAATCAGGGAAGTCTTTGTCCCCAGAATGCCAGAGTCTAGGAAGTCTAAAGTGGCAAAGAGTGAATTTTGGTGGGATGCTCTGTACCCAGGATGTAGACAGGACAAGGAGCGGGGAGATGGTGTCAGCTTTCATCTCATTCACGTTCATGGTCATAGATCGGCTGTTTATCAGTCCCCAGCTTCACTTGAGCTGCTACCCAAACAGGATGGAAGTGCAGACCCTTGATGTAAATCAAATAGGACATTTCACAGCACTGATGATCGCTGCTAGATTTGACGTTGCCTCCTTCCGGGGAGGGTGTGTGTGTGTGTGTGTGTGTGTGTGTGCAGTGTTCTGTGATAATCATTGTTGCAGGCCAGGGTGCAGTTGGTGCCTGCACCCAAGGCGGCTGCTGAATTCGTGTTTCCCCAGAACTGCTGTAAACAGCCTGACTTGCAGACGTTGTAGTTCCAGAGCCTGAAGGGGAGGTTGTCAGGCCTGCTTTAGGCAAATGCCTGATCTTTGATGCTGTCTCCAGGGTGAAGATAAGGAAATAAAAACCAGGCTTTAGAGATGTGGGAGGTGTGTGTGTGTGTGTGTGTGTGTGTGTGTGTGTGTTATGGTAGAGTTCTCAGCACTTTGCAAACACTCACAAGTCATATTTTTTTCAAAGCAACATTGGTTTAATCATCTTACTAAGCATATATTTGAGAACTGAAGAAGCCTCTAAAAGTGTCTAAAATATAAAGCCAAAGAGCTCATCATCTACTAAGGAACGTGCTGAATTATGTCATTCCCCCCATGCCCCAAATTCTTGTGTTGAAGCCCTAACTTCCAACATGACTGTATTTGGAGATGGGGTCTTTAAAGAGGGAATTAAGGTTAAATGAGGTCATAAGAGTGGGGCCATCATCTGATAGGACTAGTGTCCTTATAAGAAGACGAAGAGACACCAGATGCTTGAGCAGAGAAAGGGGCTATGTGAGGTCACAGCAAAAAGGTGGAAGTCTGCAAGCCAAGGAGAGAGGCCTCTGCAGAAACCAAACCTCCCAGCACCTGAACCAGCCTTGATCTTGGCCCTCAAGTCTCCAGACCTGTGAGAAGCAGTGTATGGTGCTTTGTTCTGGCAGCTTGAGCAGACTCAGTCAGGATGCAGACTCAACTGGGCAGATTTAGTCTAATAGCATCTTGCTTTATGGGGCTTCAGCAGTTTGATTGCATTTTGAGAAATTTCAGAAATCTATTTAAAGTACTATATGAACATGTTTAAAGCCAAGTAGCTCTAAACAGTTAGAATGAAAACCAACCATTCCTGGCTTTATCCTTCTTCACTACCTCCTCCCTGCAGGCAGCCCCTTCCCCACAAGGCTTTTGTTTTCTTTAATTAATAGATTTTATTTATTTATTTATTTTAATCCTTATCTGAGGATATTTTTCTATTTATGTTCAGTTAGAGTGGGAGAGAGAGAGAGAGAGAGAGAGAGAGAGAGAGAGAGAGAAACATCGATGTGAGAGAGGCACATAGACTGGTTGCCTCCTATACGACCTGGACCAGGGACCAGGGCTGGGGACAAACCACAACTGAGGTACATGCCCTTGACCTTCGAATCGAACCCGAGACTCATTGGTCTGTGGGCCGACGCTCTAACTGTTGATCCAAACTGGCCAGGGCCAGACTTTATTTTTTAGAAGAGTTTTAGTTTTACAGAAAAATTGAAGAGGACGTACAGAGTTGCCATATTCCCTCTCTTGTTCCTTCAGTTTCCCTTCTTGTTAACATCTTCACTGGTGTATTATATTTATTGCCATTGATGAACCAATAGCAATACATTATTATTAACCAAAGTCCATAGTTTACATTAGGGTTCACTCTTGGTGTTGTATGTTCTGTAGTTTTTGACAAACGGAGAACGACATGTACACACCATTATAGTATCACACAGAATAGTTTTACTGCCCTAAACACTACCACCTTCCCACAACCCCTGGTAACCGCTCATCTTTTTACTGTCTCCCTAGTTTTGTCTTCTCCAGAATGTCATAGAATTGGAATCACACAGCCACTTCTCACATTGGCTTCTTTCTCAGTAATGTGCACTTAAGGTTCCTCCATGTCTTTACCTGGTTTAGGGGCTTATTTCTTTTTTGCAGTGAGCAATACCATTGGGGATGTTTGTCTAAAATAGTTCCCTGCCTTTTTTTTGTGTTTGTTTGTTATTTGTGACATAGATTTTTTTTTTTTTTGAAGAGTCCAGACCAGTAGTCTCACATTTTGAATTTGTTTGATTGCTTCCTCATGGTTAGATTTGGTTTAAGTAGTTTTTGGCAACATTTCAAAGTAGATGATGTCATGATGTCAGCCTTTCCGACTTTGTTGGTGATAAGCTCCATCACTTGGATGAGGTGATGATGGCCGGAACCTTCACTTGGAAAGGGACATTTTTCTCTTTGTGTGTAATCTGTGGACAGATCCTTTGAGACCATGTGGATTTTTTGGTTTCCAGCAACCATTTACCAGGGGTTTTGGAATCCATTGATGATTATTGACTAAACTCATTATTACATTGGGGGTTGCAAAATACTGGTTTCCTAATTCTATTCTGCTTTCTACATTTTCCTCAATTTTTGATTATCATGATAGAGTCACGATGCTTTCTTTCAGTGTTTTGTCATCCACATTGTCATTATTCTTTTTGCTTAGCATGATTTTAAAGGCCCTTTTTTCTGTTTTCCTTTCTCCTGAAGATGCTTCTATGAGATGGAGGGGAAGAGGTAGTATCTGCTATCTCCCCCAGTGTGATAGAGGGGAAACTAACACAAGAAACCAATCACTTTTTTTAAGGTCCAGTGTGATCAGGGACAAAGAAGTCAGAATTCTGGCTTGACAGTTTCACAAACCAGTGTGCATTTCACCAGATGTAACTTACTTGAATACTGCTCTGAATATTTGAATTCCCTTTGAATATTTACTTTCTACTAGTAAGAGACGAGTTTGACTAATTTGGCTTTACTTGGATACATGACAGTGTATTACACTTGTGTTTTCTGATTTTTTTGGTATGTAATTATTTTACACAGATACATAGAAGCCTGTCATTTTAATAGCTATACAGTATTCCACTGTCAGACTGCTGTAGTTTACTTCTTCTTTCCCCTTTTCTTGGGTATGATGGAGATATGGTGAGCAGCATTTTGTAAACTAATTTGGCAGTAGCTGTGTGAATGGTTGTCCAGGTGTGTACTGCATAATTCAGGGGGCACTATGTACATTGTAGTGTTTGTCAACAGTGCTCCCTGGAGTTGTGTAATGTACTGTCTGGGTGGCCTATACAGGGGACCCTGGTAGGTGGCATTGTTTTAGTTAAGTTGAAAGCAATGGTGGTTTGGAAGAGGAGGTAATTTACATATATGGTCAGAGATGAATGACAAACTTTATCCTTCTAGCAAGATAGATTTAAAATAGAATCAATTGTTCTACTTAAAATACCTTAAGTACTTAGAGTTTCTGTGGTGTGGGCAAGTTTTGACAATGGCTTTGATAAGCCCTTTTATTTTATTGATGATAGTCTTGAAAGTAGTCATCATAGGTTTACTGCTGTAATAAACAAGTTCACAATCTCAGTGGCTTGATGTGTCCAATTTATTTTTCTCCCATGTCATATCCAGTGTTGGTTGCAGCAGGCATGGGTTCTGCAACACAAAGTTATCCAAGGACCCAGGTCTTTGGATCTGGTGGCTCCTAAGTCAATCCCCTGTGATCTCAGCATCCTTCACTGGCTCCTCTGCCTCTGGCAGATGAGTAGACAGATTGTGAGGAAATGTGCAGGCAACCTGGGAGGGGCATTTTTCATGTCTACCCATAGGCCATTGGCCAGAGCTCACTCACCCAGCTGCAAGGGAAGTTGGGCAATGTTGTCTCTCTGTGTGTCCAGGTTAAAAAGGCATGGGTGTTTAGGGAAAGGCATGAGTCAGTATAGCAAGGTTGACCTCTTTTCTCTATTTTGTTTCTTCTCCAGGAGACTTCTTGGCATCATCACAAAAAAGGATGTTCTGAGACATATGGCCCAGATGGCAAACCAGGACCCTGAATCCATCATGTTTAATTAGAAACAAAATGGCCATTATTTTAAGGAGAATACAACTGTGTCATTTTAAAAGAAGTAAACAAATGATATGTTATTGTTCTAATGAATGATCCAAAAGCTTTGTTTGAAAGGAAGGGAAGAAGGATGAAACCTTTTGTTAAAAAAATACATTAATGAATAGGCATTTTATAGCTTTAACTCCTTATGAGTTTCAAATTGTGTTTGTTAATGACTTTACTAACTGCTATGGGGGCATGTGTGTGGGTGTAAATGATGGAACACAAATGCTGAATCAAGAAATGTTTGCCCTTCTGTTCAAGGCTGCTGTTTAGGAAGATTTGTCCAAAAGGCAAAGGGGTATTGGTTTGTCAGTGTCCCTATTTATTGGTTCCTGAAGTTTTGCTGCTAAGTTACAGAATCGGACTAAAGATATTTGCACTTACTTTGTTGGAAAAGGAAAAGAAATTAAAGCTGAACATAGTGAAAACTGCAAGTATGGGGTCACGCATGACTATCCCATTTCTTGTTCCTGTTCTCAGTCTGTTATTTTGCGTATCCATCAGTTTCTGAATGAACATCAGGATCACCTGTTGTTATGAGTATGAAGAAACAATTTCTCTATGCAAGACCAGCATCTTGGGACTGCCTGACTAACTATTGGAACGTTATTGCTGCACTGTGTTTCCTTCCATGCAAAGGGATCCATCCTTATCATGAGTGTGTACTCTCCCAATCTCTGATCTGCAACCTCATTGCATTTGCTTCATTTATTTATTGATGTTGCCTGTGCATTCTTAAATATTGATCAGTCCAACATTTTCTATGGGACATATCCTATATGCTACCAGCTTGTCATAAGTGTGTATTAATTTCCAAATAGCCTATACAGGAGTCAGTCAGAACAGGCTACCCAGAGTTACTACTTATTTTTCCTCTCAGATCTTATTAAATACGGCTGCCGAGAGGGTGAGGCATACGAGTTCTCAGTGGGAAGTCCTCCAAATGGATTGCAAGAGAAATACTAAATTGATTCTAAATCTGTTCCATTCTCTTCTCTGTAGGATGCAAAACACCCAGCTTTAATGTATAAGCATGCCCTTTCATACCAACTATCAAAGCACAGGAGGACAGAGTTCAATTCTAGATACCAATTTGAGCATTGGGCATCTCTGTAACGATGCATTTATTCTTTTAGTCAGGACTTCTGTCTTTTCTGGGGGAAAGAATGAAGCTGTGTTTTTAGGTCCACTGTATGATTTGTATGAATAAGAGTTATCCTGTTTGCTCTCTTTGTTCTTCTCTTTTCATGGACTCGTCCTCATCCTTGTCAATCTCATCATTGGATGTTGATGTATCAGGTGTGCATTTGGCTGCAAATCATAGAAAACCCAATGAGCAGTGATGAGCTGAATAGGAAACCTGGTGTCGGGCATTCAGGGCTATCATCATAATATTGCCAAGGGTCCACACTTTTTGGTATTTTTTTCCAGCATCCTTTGTCCTTTGGCTTATTGCCTCATAGTCACAAGATGGTTACTTAACTGCCAGGTATGATGTCTGTTTTCTAATCAGGAAGAGACAAGGAACTGGTGCAATGATAATATCAAGAATACAAAGCTCTCCCAGAGATGCCCAGCTTTTGTCCACTAGCTAGACTTCTGTCACATGGCTCCCTCCAGCTGCATATGAGTTTGGGAAGGACAATGTTTAGCAAGGTGTATTACTCTCAGAACAATATTTAAATTCTCTTAATGAGAAAGGGGGATTGGTCCTTGGGAGGGAAGTGCCTGCTCTATTGGATGTCATCATTGTGTTCCTGTCATTGTTCTTCCTGTCCTCTTTACCCTTGCTTGCTGAACCTCTTTGAACACTCTTTTCTAACCTTATTGTCCCCACTCTTCTCTCAGATGTGACAGAGAACTCCCAATCAGAACCCATCATTTCTTAGCCCTAATAAAAATGTTCAGGTTGGAGCCCTGGCCAGTTTGGCTCAGCGGTTGGAGCGTTGGCCTGCAGACCAGAGAGTCCCGGGTTCGGTTCCCGCTAGGAGCATGTACCAAAAAAGAAAAAAAAATGTTCAGGTTGGATAAAAACCTAGCTAAAAGTATGTTTCTATGAAAATTTCAAGTTGATGTATTTAAAAAGTTTGCAGGTCATGCTGACAAACTATGGAAAAAACTTGTTTCTTTAATTGGCTCCCTCCAAAATAATATCAGATAGCCAATTCAGTGTGGAAATACCAGTCAGTAGGAGATAATTCAGTGTTCAATCTTATAATAGAGTGAAATTTGGTGTCTCATACACAGCATGTAAGTATTGAGTAACAGATCCAAATGTTAGTGTTGTTATTGGGGTTCCATGCTGCACATGCAAGTGAAGCTGGATTTTCCTGGACTTTACATCCTAAATAGTCTTAAGAATGGTTTCATATAATTTCCCTCTTATTCCCACATGGCCTCCCCAAAGAGCATTAGTCAGAGCCTGGATTTAGATAATCCAGGATGACCTTTTAGCTGAATCAATGAGCTTGACAAGGGAACATGGAACAGTGAACGGGCAGCCAAAGGTCAGTGATACCACAGAATTTCTCCTCCAGCTGAGGCATGGAGGGATGATAGGTTAGTTTAATCTGGGCCAAGATCACCAAGGGGAGTTGTGTCTCTTTTACCCCACCCCGGTGCTTAGCGTAGGGATATCTGTGAATTCACTGGGAACAGTTGGGAGTGTTAACCTGACTTAAACAACCAAACTTTGTTTCCCTTCATAAGTTGAACCTCCAATTTGTTGAGGTCAGGCTCTCCAAGACTAAAGGCCAGGGTCAGACAGGCAGGTTAAGGTCAAGGATGGGGGAGTTTGCAATGAGGACTACCAGAGCCACTTGCCTTTCTCCCCTGGGTCCCTAACTCAGCCATGTGGTCCACTCACCCTCCTGCCAAACTCCATAGGGAACATTCTGTCCAGCTTGGTCACTCCTTGTTAAAAGGCATGTGGGTGGGTATTTGGAAGTTATTTATTGTACCCAAATATAGAACTTCATCACTTTCCCAGGTGATCTGATGGGCAATATAAGTAGAACTGGGATGTGAAGATGAAATAAACATTTTTCAGAGGAATGTTTTTGTTTCCTTTTTTCAGAACCAAAGGCTTTATATATTTGTAGAACTTAATTATTTCAGAATCAGGTTTTTATGTAAATACACTTAAATGCACAATGGAAAAGATGCTCTCTAACCAGGCACATCGACCTATCTGTTGCTCTCCCTCTGTTACTAAGGAACTGTGTCATAGAAGTCAGACACCTAATAAAGTGTTCCACAAAGTGACGTGCAGAGTTCTTGTTTTTCAGCGCATCCGCTGGGAAAGTAGGTGTGCGCGTGACCTGCAAGAAAGGGAACGTGCTGGAAGCAGATCAGCACTCAGTTCTACCCAAAGACCTCACAAAGGAGGAGACAGGTCAACAGATACATTTTTGGCCCTAATAAGTCACAGAAACGGAAGAACGAGGAGCAGTCGGTTTCACTTAGGCGAGAGCTGGTTGCTTGAAATGATCAGCTGCTCAGTGCTACTCAGCAGGTGCTGAGCTGGAAGAGGAGAACCTGAGCTGGAGAACTGAACTCCATAATTGCCTCAGTAGGCTTTCGTTTTAATCTCGCTGGGCAGTGCTTTATCGGACTCATTTCCGGTCTTTGCAGTGACTTACAGGAGGGGAGTCTGTGTACCTAACTCGGGGAACATGAAGCTGGCTCCGTTTTCACTGGTGTGGCCATATCGATGTTTTCGCCATCCTGGTGTGCTGGGAATGAGTCTACGTGTGACTTTTACGAGATCTATTCACATTTGGTGTTGGAGCAACCACAAAGCATTTTTTAAAAATTACACTGTGTGTAAACGTTGGCACTTTATTAAAAATTAAATATTTGAACTCTATTTTTAGAAATATAACAAGCACAGAGTCCTCAAGAAGCAGGTACATGGAAGAGATACTGATTTCGTAACATTTCTACCAAAGGGAACCTCTGGATATCCGATTCTTGTGACTGCTGAAGTATCTGGCTAAGTTAAAGACCCTGTCTTGCCATGGCCAGTGTTGCTAAGTGGTCAGAGCATCGGCCTGCAGACCAAAGTGTTTCAGGTTCTATTCCCAGTCAAGGGCATGCACCTGGGTTGCAGGTTTGATCCCCCACGCAGGGCACATGTGGGAGGAAACCAATCGATGTGTCTCTCTCACACTGGTGTTTCTCTCCCCCACCCCCCTTCTACTCTTTCTAAAAAACCAATGGAAAAAATATCCTCAGGTGAGGACTAAAAAAAAAAAAAAAAAAAGACCTGGTCTTAAGGTTGTCATGCAAGATTGTGACATTAGTTTGGTCAGCTTTAAAATCCCTTGCTCTTAGCCTGGCCAAATAAGAATTCAGACTGGGGCTATCCATTTCCAAGGATGAGGCAGGGCACTGTCACCAGGCCATCTGTGTGTCTGTCCTGTGCACAGAGCCTGGGAAGCACTTGTGTAGTGGTCCGACATTCATTCTTTCGACAGAAATTTTTTACTTTGGGAACCAAGGGTTTGAATGATATCTTTTCCCACCAGTTTTTTTTTATTTAAAATTTTCAAGTTTGCAGAAAATTTGAAAGAAAAAAATAGCACAAAGAATATCCACATGCATTTGACCTAGAAGAGGCAGAGGGAGGAGGAGTCCTCAGGGACAGCTTAGGGAAGATCATCCTCAGCAGAGGGGACAGCAAGTGCAAATGTCCTGAGGTGGAAACAAGCCTAGCCTGCTGGGGGACCTGTCAAGGGTGAGTTGCTGCAGGATGTGTGGTTCTTGGGGAGGGAGTGGGGTATTTGAAGTTGGTTTTATTTTCCCTTATGTGGAAGGGTAGGCACAAATAGATGCTTCGGGGTCCTGTAGGGCCAGCTAAAGACATAGGATTCAGAGAAATGATGTGCTTTGATTTGCATTGAACAGGAACCATTTTTGTTGTCATATAACAAGACTAGAAGCTAGGAGGCTTTTACCAATAGGTGAATTATGATGGAGGCTTTCCCCAGAGTTCTCAAATTCTGGATATATTACCAACAGATTTGCTGGTGGAGTAGGTATAAAATGGCCCAACTAACTTGCAATTTACTGAGATGGGCAGACTGGGTGAGCAGCTCCATTTTGGAAGTGATACATTGGAGATATCAGTTGGACACTCAAGTCCAGAGTTCAGGGGAATCATTAAGGTTGGAGACATAAATCAAGCCATTGGCATACCAGTCATATTAAAGCCATGCCTGGAAACTTTGGTGGTCTAATGGTACGCTAAGTGCAAAAAGAACCAACATTCTAACAGAATTTCAGTATCGAGTTTTCAGGGAGTTACGCGGACTTAGACGACTGCATTTGAATTTCAGCTACCTTGCCTCTTGGCTCTGTACCATTGTTGAAGGGATTGAAACTCTCAGAGCCTGCATGTCACCATCTCTGTAGAGTGAGCTCCTGCTTTTGACCAGCGGCATGGCTGTGAGAATTAAGTGATTTCATCATTGTGAAGCACTTGGCTTGGAATAGAGCACGCCAATGGTAGATGTGATCATCTCTCATGCTATGTAGCTTTAATTGGAAATTAATTAATTTTATGTTTTTAAAGGACATATTACACATTAGTTTAATTATAAGACCCCTAAAACTAAACACAGATTGGTCTAACCAATTACCTTTGTTTCCAACACTTTCTGAGGTCACTTTCCAGAAACCAAAATGAAACAAAACAAATAAGCAAAGTCTCAGATCTCTTAAGAGATGTAAAACAACAACAACAACAACAACAAACAAAAAGGAAAGAAAGAAAGAAAAGACAACAACAAACATCTATCTGACTCCAAATTGATGGGAAATTATTAGAAAAGAAACCACTTGGTAGGAATTTCCATTTCTCTGTAGCTTTGTACTGGCTCAGAGAGAAGAAAAGCATAAATACACGTAAATATTGAACTCTTGATTAGCTTAAAATTTGGAACAAGAGTTCCTGAAACACACGACTATGTGTAACTTGTATATTTTCAGATAATGTAAAACCCAATACCCACCACGTGCCCAGACAGAAAAATCTTACCACCATAGTGGTTGGTAAGAAATAAGTCTTATTAGTAAAACTCATGAAGAACCAGCTTTTTGTGGGCCGTGCATATTTAGAGCGAACTGGAATGGCCTCGCAAAGAAATGTCTGGGTCAGGCAGGCTTCTTCCTGGGCTTTCATGAGTTGAGACAGGACCAGACACGTGTATGTCTTCTGGGATAACACAGTCTGGCCGAGCACAGGGAAGCTTGGTGTGCCTGTTCCACTCTCCCAGTTCACTGGTAGGTAATTGGCTAGAAAGAAGCTACCATCTGTGAAGGCAGAGAGGGAGCACCTATGTTTGGCAGTTTCTTAACAATTGCATTTCATCAAAGAAATGGCTTTCTTCTTTCCGAACGAGCAATAGCAAAGAGCACCTTGTGAGGATCTCCAAACTCCTAAACCCAGGGTTTGGCTCGAAGAAGGGAGCAATTTCGATGTGATTCCAGCACTTGTTGTGGAAAACATATGTCAAAGATTAAACAGCCGTCCTCAATCCAAACAGATTCTGTCGGAGGAATTGAAAGCACATACAGAAATTCTCGTCCTGCACAATGCCTGACAGCCTGCATCCACAGGATGCTCGCCGGTGGTAGAACATTCCTGCTTTCTGCAGGACTCCATGTTCATTTCACACTCACACCCACTCTCAGTGCTTCCACCTGTTTCCAGCCAACATGAACCAAGTGGAAATTGGAGGTAGCTTCCTTTTGATGAATAGGTTTCCTTTGCGCGCGTTTCTCCAACTTTAGCCTGTCCCCAGAAAGACTGGAGCCTTTTCAGGAATGAATGGCTGTGGGTTGTTTCCGTGGTCACCAAGGAACTTTCTCTGGGATAGTGCCCAGTTATTCTACAGGGCAGGAATCTCAGCCAGTTATTAAAGAAAGGGAAGAATCAGCAGGTCTGCACTCTACTAAGAGGGGCTGCACTTCCCCGAGTGCTTCCTGGAGGCAGTGTTTCTGCAGGACATTGCTAGGTGCCCCAGGAAAAGAGTGGATTGTGTGGCTAACTGGACTGGTAAGTTCCATCTCCTGGGACTGGGCTTCCAAAGGCCAGCACTTGGGAAGCCCTGCTACGGGGCCAGGACTGTGAGGGTCCGTGAGTCTTGGTGAATTTTTCATAAAGCTAGGTGAGAATCCTTGGTGTCAGACAAAGATGGAGTGGGGAGTCTGAGGCCTGGGGACAGGCTTTCATGTATCTGAAAACACCTTTAAGCAGAAACTTAAATGCAAACTTAGGGAGGAGGGGACATTGGCCTGGGCACACATCTCCCACCAACTGGGGATTTGGAAGTGAATGCCTTCCGGTTCAGCCAGGTGTGTCATCTACCCTGTCCCCTTTCTTCCCCGATCTCTGCTTGTTACATCTCACTAGAAAGATTCCCAGCTGCTTTCTTGAGTGAACTTTGAACAGTTTCGTGTCTTTATTGAAAGTTTGGAGCCATGGTTGGCAAACTACAACACGAGGGCCAAGCCCAGCCTACCACCTGTCTTTGTAAATAAAGTTTGTTGGCACATGACCATGCCCATTTGTCTGTGGCTTCTTCTGGGTTACAATGATAGTTTCAATAGAAGCTGTATAGCCCACAAAGCTGAAGATACTGACTATCTGGCCCTCGACAGAAAGTTTTCTGACTCCTGGCTTCGAATAGATTAGGGTCACCAACCACTGGCTAACCATTGAGTGACTTGCTTTCTTAGACTAGATGGAAAATATGAGGAACTAGTAAAACAGAAGCAAGGAAAGAATTGTTTGCTGGTGGAATAGGATGAATGCGTTCAAATACTTCTCTATCTTCCAAGTTTCCCCAACAGCTCAACTTGTGCCAGAAATCTCTGTCCTGACTTTGATATTAACAGAGGTAATGGTGATGTTTGTAAAAATTTCAATGTTTTCTGTGAGGGAAAGTAACACCTAACCTTTGACCGGCACTTTGTAATTTATGAAGGGGTTTTCATATTTACTTGTGTTGATTCTTGATGGTCCTGTGAAGTAAGAATTGTGGTACCCATTGTTCAGGAGAAGAAGCTGAGGATCAGAGAGGTTCAAGTATAGTGGACTCACCTGTGGAGTTTTACTCATACCAGTGCCTTGAGGACATGCCCTGGCATTCGAATTCAGTCGCTCTTGGGTGGGATCTGGTATCACCTTTATAAAGGCCTGCTGGGTGGTTCCAAAGTGTGCAGAAGCCCTGTCTCTGGGGAGTCACCCCTGTTGCTAC